AAGAAAATTTAAACAAAAAAAGAAAATTTATTTATTTGTTTATTAATCGGTTAAAAGCCATTAATTCGAAATGAAATTCAAAAAAAAAAAAAAAAACAATTTAATGCGAATCTGCATCCTCCATTATGCATTCAAAAACTAAAAATAAAAAAAACGTTTTAAAATTTAATTTATTAAAAGCTTTTATTATTATTTATTACTTTTTTTTTTTTTTATGTTTTTCTTTAGATGTATTAATAATAATAATAATAATAATAAAAGTGAAAAATCGATTTTTATCGATTGATTCGATTTAAAATGAAAAATTCAATAAATAATAACAAACGGTCAATTGTAAAGAATGTTTTACGGATTAATATTTATGGATTTCAATAATAATAATGATGGTAACATTAAAAGAAATGGAGGAATGGGGGGAGGGGGGAGAAGGGTACAATCATGCAATCTTTAAAGATTGTACAAAATATAAGAGTAAACCGAGGAGATTTCATTTTTAAGGATGCTGGATAGTATGACGAGGGGTTTGATTCTTCCGATAATAATAAAAAGTAATAATAATAATAATAATAAACTCACCTCGGACCCATCAAAACGACCAAATTTCCACCTTTGACCAATCCCGTAACATTATTTATTAATTTTTTATAAGGGTGAGAATTTCTATCGAAAAATTTCCTTTGTTTTATCTTAACAAAAACGCTCACGTCTCTCCAAGTAATATTAATTGATGAATTTTGACTTTGAATCCAATCGCTTCTTGTTGTTTCCGTCATTATATTAAAAAAAATTATTTTCACTTTCGACACATGAAAAAAATTAATAATAATAATAATAATTAAATGACGTAATTATGAAAATTTTGGATCATTAAATTTAATAAGGTGCGGGAGGATCTAATCAAAAATTTTTTTTCCTTTGAATTTAAATGTATTGCAGTGATAAGAACGCTCTACGAATCTTCTTTATTAATACACTACATCTTTTTTTTATCAATAATCACTTTGTAAACCTTTTTTTTTATTCCGATAAACCTGTAAAATGATTTAAACTATTGATCGTACCTGTAAATAAATTTTAATTAAATTTTATGTAAAAACTTATTAAAACACATTTCCCATTAAAGTAAAATGAATTTATTGAACTGTTGTTAAAGTTTTAAGTATTAAATTTCAGTTACGCAATCAACAACATTCGTACAAACGGAACAAACAATTTTTTTTTTTTTTCGTTTCGTTTCGTTTCGTCGTTGATATCATGTTTATTTATTACATTTTTTAAGCTCTCCTTCTAAAAAACAACATAAAATATGTCAGAGTTAAACAGGTAAAAAGATTGTAAATAAATTCATTATTGTTGTACAAAAAAAAAAAATTACATAACTTATATTATCCAGGATTTGTTTCGTCAACCGTTTGTTCGATAATAATAATATTTTAATGAATGATTTAAAAAAAAAAAAAAAAAAAATTGTACTAAATTTATATTTGTATGTAAAATAATAAATTTTTTGACACAGATTTATATACAATTTTTTTTTTTTTTAAATTTTCCTCAAGAAATTCCAGCATTTGTCGATCCGCTTTCCTTCCTTCCACGAAATGTTGTTACGCGAGAATCAACATCATCTGAAATTTTACTAAACCTTCTACCCCACGAACCTGTTGTCATAATAAAAAATCGGTTATTTGAAAATTATAGATTACATAATTTATAAAAAAAAAATTTTAATAAAATGTCGGATTACATAAAAGAAGACCTTTTCGAATAATATTCTTACCCCTTTTTTTTTTTTTTTAAATTAGGTTAAGGGATAAGAATAAACTAACTCTCCATCCCCTAATACAACAAAAATTTTTTTTTTAAAGTTAAATAAAAATTAATCACCCCTTCGTAATATAGTTTCAAGTTTAGAACCTTTTACAGCCGATAATAATTCTTTATTATTTTCTCCGGGAGTCCTTAAACCTTTTTCGTATTTTGCTTCTTTTGCTAATAAATTTTCTCTCAACATTTGAGTTCTCACTGATGTTGGAACGTCTGGAATTATGTAAGCCATTATACCCGTCAATGCAAATACGAAATGCTGAACAAAAAAAAAGGAATTTAAAGAGTCGGCTTTTAATTAAAGGAAATGAAAATTATGTAACGAATTCCAATGTTTACTTCGAAAACAACGACGAATGCCAATCGGGCTGCAAAAACGTGCCAATATTGAGGTGAAAGGTCATACGGATCCGTCGGATGATTTGGCGGATTACGATATCCTCTGTAATAACATATCGGGGGATCTGGATCATCTTCGGGACTTCCCATATCTTCCGTATAATCAGAAGTGTTGAATTCTAAAATTTAATGAAACAATAAGTTTTCAATTGTATTAATTAAAGATGAAGGTCGAAACTCACCGGAAAGAGAAGATTTAATGTAACCCCTCAAATCGTTCGTCGGTGAATAAACGAATTTATAAACCATACGGGGAATAAAATCGCTCGTGTAACCTATGACAAAAGCCTGTAAATTGAAAATTAAAAAAAAATGGGATTTCAAGGTCATTTTTCCTGTATGAAACCGACGACGACGACGACGACTCACGTTCGATACGACAGCAGTATACGTCAATCCTTTAAGTATTCCATACCAAGCACCGATATTTTGTACTCTTTCAGCTAATGGCCTCCTCGATTGCGTAACCATTTTATAAGCATCTAATCTTATTTCTCCTATATTATTTAAAAATGCAAAAAGTGGAGCGAGTGGAAAAGCGGCAACGAATAATGTAACGAATCCATATTGTAAAACTTACATAAAAAAAAAAAAGAGAAATTTTTTTTTTTATTATTTTATTTCCGTTCGTTCGTTTTAATTGAAAACTATTTCAAATTTTTTATTATCTATTTTTAAATTGATTTTAATAATAAATTTCGAAAAGAAAAAAATTCAATCAATCAAGAACATAAAAAAAAAAAAAAACACGCCAACTTAATTTTAAAATTGATCGATTTTTTTTTATATAAACTATATGGAGATTATAAATAATGTAATGAAATTCTCGTTTTTGTTGTTGTTTATACCCATTTCTAAATATTCTTCGAAAAGTGCTAAACGTCCAGCATCTTGCATTTGATAATCTTCTTCCCATCTTGTTAATTTTCTCGTAAAACCTTTTTTCGTATGACTGCTATGAACTCTCCTATACCACCAATTCCAAAATTTTCTATAAAGAAAAATAATAATAATAAGAATTTTTGTTTTTGGGAGGGGGGGGGGTTTAAAAAGGAAAAAGTGAAAGTCGTACGGATATAATAATTCCAAGACGTTATTCAAACATTGTTTTCCAATCATTATAATAGCTAATTGTATGCAAAGTTCGCTTAAACAACCTGCTGGATCGCAAACGTCTCCTTTCAATTTTAAAAATTCTGAACTTCTGGCTGCCGTATCTCCAGGATGCATAAAAAATCTTCCCTGAAAAATCCAACATGGCGTCCATCAAGTTTTTGGCAAATTTGCATAAAAATTTGAATTTTACAAAAAAAAATTTTTTTTTTTGTCTTACTTTAAAAAAAGCTATGTATATTAGAGATGAATAAAAATTAACAAATTCGAAAAGGAATATTTTAAACGTAAACGAATCTTCGTATTCTCTTTGTGTTCTAGGATTTTCTATATTTGTCAACCATATTGCTAATGAATGATAAAACTAAAACGATAAATTTGATATTTAAAATATTCAGTGAAAGTTTTTAATTAAAATAATAATTTTTAACAGGCTCACTCTTGTCAATATCATAATTATAATTAAATTAATTAAGGCCGCTGTCATGGAAGTAAATATTTTGGCATGATCTTTTAAAAGTGTACCACCGCCGCTGTAAATAACGGCAACGAGACTAATTCTATAAATTATCGTTCCTAAAACAGCACCGATCACCACAAATATCTAAAAACACAAAAAAATAAAAAATTAATAATTTGTTAATCTTAATCTTAATCTTTAAATTGACTTACCATACATAAAACGGTAGCACTCGTTGCTAAAAATCTTAATGCTTTATTCCATAACGGCATGTAAGGTTCTCTTTCTCTCGTAACTGGATTTATTCTAAACGTTTTAACAGAAGTTTCAAATTCTGGACGTGGTTCTTCATCGTCTTCAATATTTTGAAGATCCCATTCCCAAACTATAATGCTTTGTTGTCTTTTCCACATTTCCAAATAAGTTGTTGCTAAAATTAATTATAAGTAAAAGTGTTTAAAAAAAAAATTGATGAATGAGTTGAGAAGTGATGGATGATTACTTACCCCAAAAGGACATAAATATAGCAAAAAAAACGGTCGATGGATTATCGAATAAATAAGTCATTTTGGCATACATGCAAGAATCACCTAATTTAATATATCTGCAAGCTTTATCGCACATTGGACAAAGAGTTAAATTTCCAGCTCCTTTCAAATCGCATATTTCATTTCTATTGAAAAAAAAAAAAGAAAGATTTAACGTTAACAAGAAGAGAAAATTTTTAAAAGTAGGAAAAAAAAATGAATACCCTGGAATGTTATCGCTATTTTCCAAACTTCCCAAACCGTATAGAAAACAAAAAACTCCAACAATGGCAGGTAGAGCAAGCATATTTGTATAGAAACCCAACCAGGCAAAATATAGTGCTATTTTATCACCGAAATATTTTCTTACCAACCATAATGGTTGTTTTTTAAACCATTTAGAAGGTCTTGCCCATTCTAAAATAATTAATTTTTAACATATTAGTTTTCCAACAGAAATTTCATTAGGTGATTTTATAATTTTTGAAATGATAAATTTACCTAAATATAATAAACGACGATCGTATAAAAAACCGTTTTCTCCATCTTCGTCGTAAGCGCCCTCGTGAAGAGGATACGCGGCAATATAAGTTTGATCGTTTAAAAGTCTACGAATGCCAACCTAAAAAACAAAGTTGGTAACAATTGTGTAATAATACAAGTTTTTCGTTTGTTTGTCATACTCTATGACAAATAATTAAAAACCTTTTCGGTGACGTCATATTTAGCTCTCATTAATATTTCCCAAACGATTTGACTTCTTTGAGCACCCGTGAAAAATGATTCTCTATCTTTAACGACAAATCTGAAAAAAATAATAAAAATAATTCTTATCCATCGCGAAAAAAGGAAAAAGACATGACAGGTTAACACGCAAAATAAAAATTCTTACTGATCTTCTTCGTTTCTTGTAAATGTCGCTTTGTAAAATGAAGGTTCATCAGGTATTCTCGTATGATCATATTCAAAAAGTTTATTGAAAAAAGCTTTTATCGATCCGTCATCATTTTCTTCTTTTTTCCCTTGATTTCTCTAAATAACGAATGGACAAAAAAATTACATTTCATATAGAAAAGGAAAAAATTGGATTTTCCTTTGATAAAGAAAAAACATTTTAAAAAAAAATAAAAATAAATAAATTAGTTAAAACGAAATTTAATTAATAAATAAATAAATAACATACCTCAGATTTCACTGAAATTGTTATTAATCTCTGCGTGTAGCATGAAACACATAAAGAAATAAAAGCTGATTCAAAAATCTATGGTGACGTTCGTGGTGTGAAGCCTTTTTTGATTTTGTGCATTTTTTTTTTTTTTTTTTTTTTTTTTAAAGAAGAAAAAAAAATAATATTTAGTATAAATATATTTATGACGTCATATGGCATATTAATTAATACTACTTTATGTTTCGATGTTAAATAATAATAAACATTACAATAATATAATACTATATATATATATATGTTAAAGAACGTTACAATAATAATAATAATAATAATAAACTTGGTACATTATCGCCATTATTTTAATTTTATATATATATAAAAAAATAAATAATTTGTGAATTGTTCCAGTCAGTAAGAGAAAACTGGAATAAATAAAGTATGATCATCATGCTTTGTGACTTTTCAGTATTAATTTATTTAAAATCATGCTGTTGCTGCTTATAATTCATCATTTCCGGTTCCGGTTTAAGAGAGAGAGAGAGAGAGAGATGGGTAGATAGATAGATAAATGAAGCAAAACTGTGCTCGTTATTTTAATTTATCTCTCTCTCTTTTTTTTTTTTTTTGTATGTTATTTTTATATACTCACTTTGATTGGCATTTTAATATTCATAAGTTCAGCATATCTCGTCATGACTTGCCAGGGTGCGTGAATTTTTAAAAAGTATGTTTTTTCATCAAAAGAAACCTGAAAGAAAAAAGGAAAACGTAATCATTATTATATTTATTAAATTTTATGGGGGGGGGGGGGAAAATGCACGATATCCCTCTTATATCGTGCAAAAAAAAAAAAAAAATTAAGGGTTGCCTTATTGAAACTTTAACAAAAACAAAAGTTTAAATGACGTCACACAAAGCGGAAACAAAAAAACGAAAAAGTTTTTATTTATTGAGCTTTTATATAAAAACTCATGAGTAAAAAATGAAGGGAGGAACCAAGAGAAAGAAGAAAAAGTTAAATAAATAAATAAATAAAAAAGTTTTCCACGAACCTTTTTGTCTTCCAATTCGAATTCTAATCCTTCTCTTTCTAAATTTTCCTTAAACCTTTTTCTTTTTTCTTTTTTCAATGCTTCGGATTCTCTCATGACACCTAAATCTTCTTCTTCGTAAACTAAAACCATATCGATCCTTCTTTTACCATCGGAAAAAAGTAACGTTTCTGATTTTGGAGGCTTAAATTTAAAAAAAATAATGAGGGTTGAGTTATGACGTCGGTTTAACAACAATAATAATGATAATGATGTAGAAAAAAATTACTCTGTAGGGAGCAGAAGAAGGTAATTCTTCATCAACGCCACTCAAAAGACCCCCAGAAGCATATTCGATGTCATTTATTCGAGAAACGTTGTCGTGTTTATCGTTAAAATGAGGGGAAGAAGTCGTTTCTTCATCACTTATGGCACTTATTTTTGGTCCTAAAACAGAAAAGAAGTCATTTAAAACGTCGTGGCATTAGGAAATTTTAAATATATATTATACGTTACCGAAAACGTCTCTGGATATGGAATTTGATATCGGGTGAATTGTAGCACGCGATGATCTTTTTTCCCAATGTCTGGTCCCATTAACGTTGGCAAGATCCCATTTTGTGTGAGATAAATTAAAATATGATAAAACTACTGTTTTTATATTATTTTGGCAGTTTTCTATATTTTCCTTATGATTTTTCCTCTCTTCATACGTCATTTCCCCGTTACATCTGTAACATAAAATATTGTGCTTATTATCTTCCCCATCGGGATGTCGTTTGTTTTCGAAATCGTTTGTCCGTTAAAAAAATAATAATAATAACAACAGCATTTACCTTCTTTGAAAAGCATCAGATCTAACGTCTATATTAATTCTATATGAAGTATCCGTAGAATTTTTCCGACCGTATGAAAATTTTCCATCGGTCTCTTCATTTTCCAAATCGTCACCAACACGTTTCAAATTCGTTTTGTTTTTATTTTCATTTCCGTATCCGTTTGTCATATTTTTCTCGCTTTCATTCGAATCTCTATCCCAACTTTTCCTTTTCCCATCCGTTCCTTTAAATTTTCCATATTTTTCTTCAAATTCATCATCATCACTTTCGTACACGATTCCACCATCACTTTCTTCGACCGTTTCTTCCAAATGATTAATAAAATTTTTTGATATTTGTTTTCCATTTTCTTCTCCTTCATTGTTTTTATCTTCTTCAACGATAAAATCATCATTATTATCATCATTATTAATATTATGACTGCGAGTTATTTGATTTTTAGATTTAATTCTTTTATTTAATGTATCACTTAAACCTCCATTTATTTTCGATGCACTGTTCGTGTCTGATTTACTTAAACGTTCCCGTTGTACTCTAACCGTCGGTCCTAACACAATTTCCGAATATCGTCTGCTATTGTAAATTCGAATGTTGTAATTATTTAAATTCGCGGGTATCGATGCTCGTCTTTTATTATCGTTAACCGAAGAATCATTTTTACTGCATTTTTCAAATTTCGAACCATCCAAAAAATATTCTTTAAAATCTTGAGCGGATTTAAATTTTTTAACGACACCATCATCATCATCATCATCATCATGATTTCGATATTCCGACATTTGATCAAAAAAAAAAAATTTTATTTTAAGAAGATTTTCTAAACGACATTTTAAATTTTAAACGCGAAAAAACAAAAGTACTGGAGTACTGGAGTCAGTTATAAAAAATGCATCGAAAATTAAATGATTATTTTTCGATTGTTTCTTTTAAACTAAACGATCGGTCAGTGAGTCAGTCAGTCAATCAATCAATCAATCAGTCAGTCAGTCAGATAACCCAATTTTTATTTATAATTTTCTTTAACTCAAACTTTCATCGACATAATCATTTAATAAGTAAGGATAAGTTTCCGTGAGAAAAAAAAAAAAAAAAAAAAATTTCGGACATTTTTTGTTGGGTAGGCGGGTAGTTGATGTCATGCGCTCTCTCTCTCTCTCTCCCTCTCTCTCTCTCTCTCTCTTTCTCATAACAAAATATTAATTGAAATATTTATTAACTTTTTCTTTGTATCATTTCCGATCAATCATTATTTATTATTAGTTAAACATTATTTATTTAAATTTTTTTTATCATCATCAACACGAAATAAGATACATCACGAAATTATTAATAATAATAATAATAATAATAATAATTTTTCTATAAAAAATTTAATAACGGAAACGGAAATAAATAAATAAATAAAAATACTTATTCTGCTTATTCTTTTTTTTTAAATTTCATAACCTTTTTATGTAATTTTTAATTCCGACACAATTTTCCTACAGAAAACTCTATTTTCCCCCCCCCTCCCCTCCCCTCCCCTATCGTTATCTTCTACACCGGCTTTTTCAATATTAAAAAAAAAAAAAAAAAAAAAAAAAACTCAAAAAGGTCACGACGACAAAAAAAAAAATTTATTAATTATTAAATTTCTGTTTCCATAGAAAATATTAATAATAATAATAATCAATAATTAAAATAAATAAGTAATAATAATAATAATAATAATAATAATAATAATAATAATATTTAACAAATTAAATTAATTAAAATGTGTAATTTTACCTTTCATTGGACTCTCCTTACACGTAACACATTCGCACTTTATTTATTATCGTTAATAAAAAAATTTCACTTTATCATTATTATTATTATTATTATTATTATTATTATTATTATTATAACGAATTCTATATTAATAAATTAATTTCCGTTTTCTTCGTCTCACGTGACTAAATAAATAAATAAAAAAGAAATTTTTTTACGACGACGACGACATTTTTTTTTTTTTTTTGCCTATTATTATTAATTTTTCAACCCTTCACAAACTCTAAATAGTAAATTTTTGTGGAGAAAAAAAAAAAAAAAAAAAAAAGATTAAAATCGATAACCTCGGGGGGTGGGGGTTGGGAAGTGGGGGGCGGTGTATTTTTTTTGTGAAAAACCATCGCATTGTCATTCATAATAATCGTTTTTATTAGAGAGGGGGGGGGGGAAAAACGAAAATCAAAAATAAAATAAAATAGGTCAGCCAATGTTTTTTTTTTTCCCCTTTTTTTATCAACCTTGTCACGTGACTTTCCTAAAAATTGATACGAGGAAATTCAAATTAATTATTTATTTAAAAAATTTCGTCCGGAAAATACAAAAATCGACGTTTATTATATTTACTAATTTTTTTTTTTTTTTTTTTACGTAAAAAATTCGAAAAATTCTACTCGTAAATTAATTAAATTTGTAAAAATTTAATATCGATAATAACTTTTCGAAATTATTATTAAAAAGGTTTCGATTATCGAAATAGAAAAAAAGCCACGACGATGATAATGATGATGATGATGAAAATTAAAACGATTATTATTTAAAAAAAAATTTTTTTAATATTTATAGGTTACCACCGGTCATGACGTGCAAGTTTTTTACGTTTTCGATTCACGATAACGATTATCGAATATAGATATATCTCATAAGCAATTACACCCACGCAAATAATTATTATTTAATAATAAAATGTCAAATGTCGTAAAAAGTCAGTCAATCAATCAATCAATCAGTCAGTCACCAAAACAAAAAAATTTTCGAAAAAAAATCGTTACCGTACTAATTCGTCACACGATTTGATTTAAGTAAATAAAACGACGTACCTGATTTTTAACGATTCCGAAAAATTTCCCTGCTCTTCAAAGTTGGCAATACTGTTATGATGATAACAACAACAACAACAATTTATTTACGTCGAAGATTTTTTTTTTTTATTTAATTTTTTTTTGTCACGAAACATGGATGATGTTAAAATAATTAATTTGGATTTTGGTATTGTAACCTGTGGTAAAAAACATACTTTAATATATAAGTTTGAAAATAAAACAAATGTAAACAAAAAAAAAAATTTTATTAAATAATAATAATAATTAACCGGGGGAAATTATTATAAATAAATGAAAATTTTTAGAAAAATAATACGTACTTGGTGAAACCGAAAGAAAGAAAAAATACAAATTCCGGTTACGAAAGGTTAAAAATTCATCCATTGGAGATTAATAATTTATCGCCTGGAAAATTTATT